CCCCGCCGCGCCACGTACGGATCCTCACGAGGAGCAGCAGCCGGGGCCGCGGAGCGCGCGGGGTTTGCTCCGATCCCGGCGGCAGCGACGGCCTTCCCGGCCCGGCCGGGAGCCACGCGGGCTGCTCCTGCCACCCTGACATCACGCTCCAGAAATTTAACCCATAACCATTTACACCTGTCGGCTTGACCACATAATTTAGGAGTTTAATAATAACAGCCTATGCTGTCAAAGTGTGGTTTCTGCAACATCTCTATTAACTGGGAATAACATTTTCCTCGAGTGAAAACCCGGATTCACGTTTCATGCGAGTCAGCAGTTCGTATTTTAATCCCCGCTGCGAGGAGCTCCCGCTCCGGCCGGAGCGGTGTCGCGTGTCCCGCCCGGATGCCCGAAATCGGGATTTGGGCCCCCGGCGCAGGAGCGGCCGCGGCTCCGGGGTTAACGCGGCGGCGCCGAGGGCGGCAGCTGTTAAAACAGCTCCTGCTCCAACTCAAACAAGGTCTCAACAGCCGTAAAGATCCGACGGGGCAACAATGGCCGGAGCGGAGCCCTGGAACGCCATCAAACGCCCGGGAATTCCTCCCGAGCGCTCCGTTATCGATGCAGCAGGAGGGATTCATTAGGGCCAGCTCCCCACGCGCAAGGTGCTTCTTCCCGAGGCGGATGGGACAGAACGCGGGCAGGAAGGGCTGGAATGCCCAGGACCGACCTTTGGAGGGGAAAACAGGCTCCCTTTGCTCAGGACCGGTCCGACACGAGGGTGGTACCAGAGCAAGGCCTTGCAGAAGGACGATGCTGCAATCGGGCGCTCGGAGAATCCCAAGGTCCGCGGGTGTATCCCGGCGAGCATCGCGTCCCGCTGCAGCCCCCGCGCTCCACGAGGCAGCATCGTTATCCCGGCCTCGCTCGTTTGCACTTCAAAGCCACGGCGATATTTCTGGAAGTCTTCTCAGAAAGAGCTTCCCGCCGCTCCGGTTACACCTGCTGCTTTTATGAGCGTTTCCAGAGGTCAGGCAGCACGGGAGGAACGGCCGGGAGCTCCGCAGAGCCCCGTGCCGGGAGATGCCCGAGGCCGGAATCGGAGCCGGTGCCGGGCACGTCCCTCCTGCGCCCGGCCAGGCTGACCCGGGCGGCCGGCTTCAAAGCGCCCCGCTGGCGCTCGCGGCAAACCGCGTTAAAGGCCTCTTTGGCATCGACGTATCGATTAGATTATATATAAACTACAGCGCCATTAAATATTTATTCCTTCAGCTGGAGCCTCCGGAGGCGGGACGCAAGGAGCGCCGAGCGCGCTGCCCGGCGGGAGGACTCGGAGTTGCTCCTCCTCACTGCTCCCTAAGGGATTCCAGAATAAATCCAGGTCTTCTGTGGAGGGGGACAGCGTGAGCAGCCCCTCTGCCCGTCAGGAACATCCTTGGGGTGCAATGGAGAATCCAGCATCCAAATGGGTCGGCTCCACGGAGGAAGGAGAGGCTCCTGCTGTGCCCTGGACACCAGCAACCGCCATCCAGGCGGACTCCAAACCCCAGGAACAACCGCCGTTGGATCCCAGGCCGGCTTTGCCCAATCCTCCAGCAGGGATTTGCAGAAAAGCTTCACAGTCTGCAAAGGGGTGGCTCCATGGGGAATCCTGCCAGCGGGAGGGCGCTCCGCGTCCCAAAGCGGGTTCCTGTCCCCAGGCGGATCGGTAACCTCAAAGCACGGCTCCAGCTCTTCCCGTTCCCAGGCACGTCGCAGTCCGGCTGTCCCGGGCCGAGGTTCAG